CTTTTCACCCTCCCCAGGCTCCAGAGGCTTTATAGGAGCCTGGGGAGGGTGAAAAGGGCCTCCCCCCCCCCCCCGGGAGGCTTCATGAGCTTCCCTGAAGCCTCCAGAGCACAAAAAACCGGTCCTACAGGCAAACTGGAAGTTCGGGAACGGACTTCCGCTTTGCTCGGAGGGTCATTTTGACTGCTCCCGAGGCTTCAGGGAAGCCTCCTGAAGGTCCCTGAAGCCTTCGGAGCGCTTAAAACGACCCTCCAAGCAAACTGGAAGTGACTTTCGCTTTGCTTGGAGGGTAGTTTTGACTGCTCCGGAGGCTTCAGGGAAGCCTCCTGAAGGTGCCTGAAGCTTCCGGAGGGCAGGGGAGGCTGTTTTTGCCCTCCCCAGACTCCTATAACACTTCTGGAGCCTGGGGAGGATGAAAAAAGCATGCAAAAAATGGGGGGAGCGCCTGTAGTGCGCGCATGCGCACTGGGGGGCGATCACGCATTGCATTGTGGGTGTGGCACCCCCGCACACAACCCCCCTGCGCTCCCCCCACTTATGGCACGCGAGCCAAAAAAGGTTCGCCATGGCTGTATTAGGACATGACCAGAAGATGGTATTTGGGAATACCAATCCTTTGCTGTCCCCAGATGGCTGTAGGCTTTATCTTGTCCAGGGGTGGGTTGCTGCCGGCAGTACTGCCAGTTCAGTGCAAGGAAAAATTTTGAATCAGACTTGTCTATCTAAGGGGACACTTCTCCCATTAACAACCTTCTTAGGCATTTACCATATTTTTCGGAGTATAAGACGCACCAAACTATAAGACACAGCAAGGTTTTGAAGAGGCAAATTTTTAAAGAAAGTTTTTGCACTCTGCAAACCTCGCGAAAACAGCCCGTTTTTGTGAAAACGGGCCTGGTTTTGGTTTTTTTCAAAAAAAGGGCATGAATAGCCCTTAGAAGGCTTATAGAGTGTTCCTGCGGGGGCAGGGGGGCAAAAACGAGCAAAAAACGGCCCCTTTCTTGTCAAAAAAGGGTATTAGGAAGCTTAAAGAGTGCTCCTATGCTAGGGGGGCAAAATTGAGCACAAAATGGCCCATTTCTTGCTCATTTCTGCCCTCCCCAGCCCTCAGGAGCTCTCTGAAAGCTTCCTACAAGTTCTACACGGCCATT